GGAAGGAAGGAAGGGAAGGAGGGAGGGAAGGAAGAGAAGGAAGGAAGAGAAGGAAGGAAGGAAGAGAAGGAGGGAGGGAAGGAAGAGAAGGGAGGGAGGGAGGGAAGGAAGGAAGGAAAAGGCCCTGCCACCGAGTGGTACAGGACCACTTGCCCCGCTGTGCTCCCTGGGAAGCTCCTCCTCCTCCTCCTCTTACTGTGAGCCCCCCCCTTCCCATTGCTGCAGGGAGACAGGTGACCTTGGGAAGGGGGGGGGGAGAGAAGATCTGCTGTTGCAGCCGCTCTCAGGGCAGGAAAGTAGCCAAGCATGAAAGCACTTCATGGCTTCCTGGCTTCAGGTTCACGGAGTCCCATGAATTCCCATCTTAGGATCGGACAGGCACCGCTCGTGATTTAACACGGGGTGGGGCCCAACCCATTTGGGTTCACTTAATAAATTCTGGTTCAAAAACGCATCGCTCGGTGTTTCGCCCAAGGCGGGCCCCGCCCACCTCAGTAGCCCAGTTTGGAGCTTCTAGTGCAGGTGGGGCTTCGAAGAGAAGCCAGCAGCACAAAGAACCATTTATCCTATACCTGGAGACGCGGGTTCAAGTCTTTCAAAGTCTTGAGACCATCCACCAGGACCTGTGAGGAGTTGGCACAGGGGCATCGGTGGGAGATGCCCACAACCATGCAATTGTCACGACCCATTTTCACATGTGTTGTGTGCATGGTAGGATCGCACAGTCATGGCTGCCATTGGGAATGTTTGGTCCCCGGGGAATATCCCTGGGAGGGCAGAAATTAAAAGGCCCGTCTTTTTAAGACAACCGCATCCTTTACTGGGAGCTCTCACACCAGACTTTGGATGCGGGGAAATAGCTGGTTGGTCCTAAATTGTAACCTGTGACCTTCCTGGGCAGGGAATCGCCTCTTGCCCTGCCAGCAAATGCTTGGGGAAAGGAGGATCCTTGGCAAGCCAAGATAGCTGAAGTTATATTCAGCGCTCCAACCAATCCACCCTCATTCCAATCAAAAGTCTCTAGCCGCAACTCAGAGAGAAGTAAATTGATTTATTAGGAGTGGCCATGTTGGCATAAGCTGGGTGCAGCCAATACTAAATTACATCATACATTTCCCCCTTGACCTTGGTGTTCCCCCCACCCCCTGGACGTGACTTCTCCAATGGGACACATCGGTCTCCAAGAGTCATCCATCATGCTCTCCAATAACTTTCTTATGCTCCGACAACTTTGGGCTACCGGGGTGATTATCTAGGCATTTAAGGAATGCCTTGTTTTCCCCCCACTCCCTTTTTCTGGCAGCTAAAAAGACCAAAGGAATATATTTTTTTAGTTGACATTAAGTCACACATGGCTGCATCTTCTTTTGTCCTTCTGACTCCTTGGAGGGTCCCTGATCTTCAAGCCCCGGAGGCTCATGATAATAGCAACAGCAGACTTCTATACCGCTTCCCAGTGCTTTACAGCCCTCTCTACGCGGTTGACAGAGTCAATGTATTGTCAACAACCTGGGCCCTCATTTTACTGACCACAGAAGGATAGGAGGCTGAGTGTCAATCTTGAGGCCCGCCAGGATCGAACTCCTGACAGTGGGCAGAGTTAGCCTGCAATGCTGCATTCTAACCACTAGGAGCTGCCTCTCATTTCAAGCAGGGTCTCTTCTGCTCTGCCTTATCACGGCTTTGAAACGACTTCCACAGTTGGACCGGGGGGCCTCTCCTTGGCACCCAGCAAGATCCAGTGCCTGAACGGATGAGAGAGGAGGAGAAGGAATCCCACGAGGCAGGGAAGGGGGGGAATCGGAAGGACCAAAGCCCTGGTCTTCTCCAAGGGCCTCAACTCTCCCCTCTCAGTTATTTGTGCAACAAGCTCGTTCATTGTCTTTCATGGGACAAAACCAATGTTTTTTTTTTTTTAAAAAAACACCATTAAATGTCAAATCACATTAGAAATGCCACCAATATTTAAAACCTGGGAGAAGGACCGAGGAAGCAGGGGTTACCTGGCAGAGGAAAGGGGGGAGGGATATGGTGCCACTCGCTTTTTCTCCATCCCTCTCTCCCCCTCTTTCTCTCTCTCTCTTTCTCTCTCTCTCTCGCCCCCTCTCCCCCCCCTCTCTCTGAGAATGGAGCTGGAGACAGTATCCTGCCATCCCAAATAAAGAATGATCAATCAGTAGGAAAACGGGGTGGGGAATTTTCCTGCAGACTTTTTGGGGGATTTTCCCAGGGTCTCCGGTCAGAGGGATTTAAAATTATGAGCTTGGTGGTCCCTGAGGTCCAAAAGGTTGGCGACCCCTGCGTAAATCACGAAGGAAGAGGTTCACCAAATATGGAAAGGTCCTGGTGTATCACCTCTCAGCGGTTAGCTCCCCAAGATACTGTTTATGCAATCACCCTTACTTACTGAAGTATCTTCTGAGCAAGAAGCGATGATGTTTTCAATGAAAGGGTTCCACTTAATATCAAGCACGTTGCCTTGGTGGCCACAGACTTTGGGGTAGTTTGGTTCAATTCGGCCAGTCTGTAATAAGAACAATCAAATACCCAGGATCATGAAAACCTTACCTTCAATAGGATAGCTTGCTCTTATCAATGGAAAATCAACACGAAGAAGACGGGATGGATTTATTGCAGTTAACTGGTAACTACGTCTGCTTTGCACTCTTACTCAAAGATAGACACATTCTGGAGACCGAATTTATGACATTTAATTAAACAAGAAAGAACGAGAGGATATTAAGAAACAAAGGGAGCTTTTTCCCCAACGCCATCACTCCGCTAAACCAATAATTCCCTCGACACTGTCCAACTATTTACAAAGTCTGCACTACTATTACTATTAATGTTCTCATTGCTCCTTATCACCCATCCCCTCCCACTTGTGACTGTATGACTATAACTTTGTCACTTGTATCCTTACGATTTATATTGACTGTTTCCTAGTATGATTTGATGGCTTATTGTACCTTATGACTATCATTAAGTGTTGTACTTTATGATTCTTGACTTTGATGAATGTATCTTTTCTTTTATGTACCCTGAGAGCATTTGCACCAAGACAAATTCCTTGTGTGTCCAATCACACTTGGCCAATAAAGAATTCTATTTTATTTCTATTTCTATTCTATACTCTTTCTATTCATTTTGCAATTCTATTCTATTCTATTCTATTCTATTCTATTCTATTCTATTCTATTCTATTCTATTCTATTCTATTCTATTCTTATTCTATTCTATTCTTATTCTATTCTATTTGTAATAATCAGTATTCAACTAGAAGGGATAATATTAGTATACATGTATTCCTTGAGTTATGACAGTTCAATTAGCGACTGTTCAAAATTATGACACCCCTCCCCCCGCAAAAAAGTACTTATGATCCAGTCCTGAAATTACAGATATGGAGAATGGACCTGGAAAGCAGGCTAGTGGGGTGGGCAGGGAATAGGGATTTTGCAGTATCCTTCCCCTGCCATGCCCACAGCACCGGTAGTAAAAAAAAATTTGAATCCCACCATTGGTTGGGATCCTGACAAACCCTGGTGCTTCATTCATCTCATTTTGCTAGTCTTTCCACTTCAGTTCCTTTACCGATACTTGCAAATTAAGCAAGGAGAAGTAAGCATTTATCATGTATTTATTTACCAAGCTCCACTAACTACCGGTTGTTACTTAACGGACAACCAGCCCTAAAGAATGCTGCATCACATTGAATGAATTGGTAGTTTTATCTTCTATTTATAGATCTTTGACAGTGTTTCCAGATAAAATTCAAGATGAAATTATCATTACATTGGATGTCACAGTATCCTTTATACCTGTAAATCCAGAACTAGCAAAAGAATCCATGGCAACAGAGCTACGCAATGCACCCGACCTAGCCAAATATACCGAGATTGAAATACCCAGAATCGTGGACCTTACCAGCGTCTGCCTGACACCTACTTTCATTTGGATGGGAAGAAAAACAGACATAATCTATAACAGGGGTCTCCAACCTTGGCAACTTTAAGACTTGGGGACTTCAATCTATAATATAGTGTAAAGATTGTAAAAGCCGTGGCTGTAGGAGACAGAGCACATCCAGGAATACCAGCTAGTAGTTGGATGACATAATAGAAACTCTTTAATTTCACAACTGGCAAACTGTGAGCATCCTAAGCCCAACTAAATCCAGAGACGCTAGAGAATTCCTGGAAGTTTGGCATTCAGCAGACACATAAAGATAAACCACATTTACACAATATTTAAAAGAGACAACAGAAAAGCTAAGAAGGCAAAACCACACCCCACCAACACAGCAGGGCAAGGTACTGGTATTTAAACAGGGAGTAAACCCCATCCTACTAGCACTGATAATGTTACCTCATTGGGTAATGAAATGTCCATAAGCCATCAACCAAGTTCAGAGGACGCCAAGGGACGCCCACTGGATCCAACCCTGAGCTATGCATGTTCTCTTCCACTGATACTTGGGGCATGCAGTGGGATCAGAGGGTGGACTGGTTAGGTTTGCCAAAGCAGAGAGAAACAAAAGATCATCATCTCCTTTTAAAAACCCCATAATCCCTTGTGGCGTGACGTCTGGGCAACTGAACGGAGCTGAGCGTTTACTGGCCGGATGCCCTTCCTGTAGCCAATGCGGAGTTATATTCAGCAGATATATTTTCAACGTGCCCAGAGAGATAAATTATCTGCTTCTACCTAGGATCGAACTCACAGCCTCCTGTTGTGAGGCAAGAGCTCCACCTCTAAACCACCGCACCACTCTAAGAGAAACAGAAGATGATGTCATAGATATGGCAAATTGAACTGAATTCTTTATTGTCATTGTATGTATATACACAGTATACACATACAACGAAATTCACATCACGCCCAGAGACCAGACTCAACATGCACACACACGACAATCCCCACACACCCCACCCGCCAAAATTCCCCACCCCCTAAAAACACACCAGCATCCACACAACAGACCAAGGAATCCTGTCCAACAGCTCACTGACGGTGGTCCTTAAGTTCATTGTTAAGTGCGATTATAGCTCTGGGATAAAAACTGTTCAGGAAACATGTGGCCCGAGTTTTACTTGCTCTGCATCTTCTGCCAGAAGGCAACAGTTCATAAAGATTGTGAGCAGCATGGGAAGAGTCTCTGAGAATATTGTGCAACTTCCGCAAACAGCAAGATGTGAAGATGTCGTCCAGGGCTGGAAGCTGGAGCCCGATGATATTCTGGGCAGCTTTAATGATTCTCTGTAGAGCCCTTTTGTCCGCTACAGAGCTGCTCCCATCCCATGCAAGGATGCCGTATGTCAGGACACTCTCAATGGTGCTGCTGCAGAAGTAGGACAATGAGACAGATTTATCTTCCTGAGCATTGTCAGGAAGTACAGAATTGGGCAGAATCGAGAATTTTATGGAATATCCTTGAAAAACTATAAGTTGGTGAGCATTTACAGTAAAAGCAGGCTCAGTGGCATCTCACTAAGAAAGAGATCAAACTGGAAGAAGCCGCTTGGGCCTGGGCCTCCCTCCCACACATCTCCTATCTTAATCCCGAAGATCATCCTCCTGACTCTTGATTGTTTTCCTGAAGACGAGTTGCTGGAGAAAAAACTTGAGATGTTAAGACATTTCCTGATTGGCCACTGCTGTGAAAGATGCTGAACTGGGTGCGGCCACAGTGGGCTGGCTGAACAGGGATGTCCTTTGTTCAGATCAAATGGAAATAATGTTCTTCCTGGCAAATTCACACACTAATAGCAGAACACAACACAGGAAGTATGGCTGTGCGCCTCCAGATTACAAAAGAAAGTGCTAGATACAGTCCAGGCATGCTTATTTCAAAACACACATTATTCTCAGGCCTTCTTCAAACAACGCACAGCCAAAATAAAGCATCCCATATATCTTACTCTCTGAATCTTAAATAAAAACTTATCTTCACAGAGCAAAACTATCTTTAACAGTTGAAACATTGACCAGCAGAGGGCGCTCTTGGGCCTGGAACACATCTAGTGAAACATTCAACTTATGGCATAATCAAGAACTGGTTGATGAATTTACTCTGTGTGGTTTTCTGGTTCCTCTCTTCCACGCCCCCCAACAACTTTCCGGAGAGTTTCAGGCATATATAAGGATAGGTGCTCAACCACGCTTGTTAATTGGTGAATGCAACAAACACAGAGAGCATTTAGAACGGGTGAGAGACACACCCCTCACAGGTGTGGGAGGCAAGAGAAGGCAAGTGGCTTGCTGTTCTGTACTCCAGCTGTTGCTTGGTTCCCCCAGTGTTAGGTCTCTAAACCAGGGGCATCTGTGGAGAAGAGTCAAAAAATAACCAGGTGGCTTTTTTTTCCACACCTGGCCTGTGGAATGCTTACATCTGGCCACCCTTGAAGCAGCGAAAGGCTGGCCTGCGGTGTCTCTGCCTGTGAAAAGGGAGTTCGGGAAGGCCATGTGTGTTTTTGCTGGCAGAGGGTTGCAGGAGGCCATGGCAGCTGAAAACGGAGCTCGGGAGCCCGTTTTCGCTGGCAGTGCTCAGGCCTCCATAGGCGCCCCCGACATGAGTCAAGTCGAGCTAGCCACACACACCCCCGGTCATCACAACCCTTATGCACCCCTCAATGAAATCGAGTTTGACACCCCAGATGAATTACCAAAAAAAAAAAAAGAAAAAAGTAGAGGGCTTGATCTTGATGCTTTTGACCACCCATGGGTGCCTGGATTGCAATCTTTATTATTTCACTCCTTTATTATTTCACTCATAAATTAGGAAGAGAGGAATATATGAGTCTCTTTAGGAAAACAGAAATGGATTCTCTTCTTCTTCTTCTTCTTCTTCTTCTTCTTCTTCTTCTTCTTCTTCTTCTTCTTCTTCTTCTTCTCCTTCTCCTTCTCCTTCTTCTTCCTCCTCCTCCTCCTCCTGGAACATCCAGGAGGGGTCTTTTTCGCCTTCCCAAGGGTCCGGAGGCTTCTCCAGGACTTCTGGGAGGGCAAAAACAGCCTTCCCCCGGTTCTGGAGACCCATTTCCCCCATCCCAGAGCCTCCACGCAGATCCTGCACTTACCTGCATCGCATGCAGGGGTGGGATTCTCAAGGTTCGCACCTATTTGCTAGAACCGGTTGTTAACACTCTAAGCAGTTCGGAGAACCGGTTGTTAGAAGAAATTCCTGGCCTAATCCTGTAAGGAAGGCAGGAAGGAAACATTCTGGTGTTGCTTACAGAAACTGCCTCTCTGTTAACCCTTATTACATTCTTGGCAGGACTAGACTTCCTGTCTCAGGAACTTCTCTGGAGTTTTTTTCCCCTCCTTTGCTGGTACTTTGCTTGTGTGGAGGGACCATTCAAAGTTACAATGGCACTGAAAAAAGTGACTTATGACCCTTTTTCACACTTAACGACTGTTGCAGCATCCCCACAGTCATGAGAGGCCAGGCAAAGAGATGCGTGCCTCGATGTGAGTGATGGTGAGTTGGCCATGCCCAGCCAGTCACATGACCACCAAGCCACGCCC